TTTTTATAAACATCTATAAAAACCATTATCACCACCATACTACTGAAAATAATTACTCTGGTATGTGAAACCCATATTAAATAAACTCATTTCCTGTTTCAGGTATTGTAGTAGGGCTTTTACATACACAATCTCTAATCTTCAAAATGTTCCTAAAGGAAGCATCTCCCTATTCCACACACAAGAAAACCACGGCTTAAAAATAATTACGAAACTTCTGCCCAGGTCCGGGTAGGTAGTAAATAGAAGATTGAAAACTTAAAACCCAGGTCTGTCTAGTTCCAAAACTATATTCTTTCTACTATAACATTTCACTGAAATTATTAAATGCATTAGTTCTCCAGTGCAATTTTCCTTTAAATTTAAACAAATAAAAATAAAATTAACAAACAAAAACAAATTGTGTTACTCATTCAGGGAAAATATACCATTACTTACTAGAAAGCCAATTATTAAATATAATTCAAATCTTATAATTCAATACAGAATGACTAATTATGTAGATATTTTCAAAATCTTGAATTTCAAGGAGGGTCTACTCATAATGTCTAGGGAATCATTTTTTTTCTGCCAGCTATCTTGCTGATAGAAATGGAGGCCCATTCTATGCAAGTTGCCATTTCCTTTCTGTCTGCTTTAAAATAAAATAGCTTAGGAAGATGATATGAGATTCCATTATTTTTGTCATAATGACCAAAGACATTTAAAAGCATCCTACTTGTTTTCCCATGGTGTTTCTATATATGTCTACTCTTACAAAATGCTTGCAAATCATGCAATAGTTTTAGATGTAATTCAATTATAGAACAATATATGGGTAAAAAGAACACATACTTTTTGAAAAGAGAGAAAGATAAATGAACCAATAATAAAAGAGGTTGATGGTGGCACACAGGTTCCAAATGCCAAGCAAAAATAAATAGTATTCTGACTCAAGAAGAAACTAACAAATCACTTGTAAGTTACCTTTTGCTACGTTTTAGTTCTAGTTATTTATTTTGTTTGACAGAAAAAACATAAAAATCATGGAAACAAAATCATATCATCTTTAGAAATAAAGAAGACAGTTGCTTTTTACTTAAATCAGCAAGATAAGATTTTTAAAAATATTTGCTAGCCTCCAATAAACTGCAACATGTAAGAAATCTATTGACATAAGCAGTTCTAGAAGGTTTTTCATCTCTCAAGTTTCAAATGAGTATGATGATTTAGAATCATGCTCACTTTTTAAGCTTAAAAGAAATTAGTTTAAAAACATATGATTCATATCTAAATTGAGATAATACATAAGTGAAAATTACTGTGTATAAAACACATTAAATATAATTTCCTAAAATAATAAACCTAACAATAATATTAAAGAAACTCATAAAATTGAAAGGTTTTTGTCTAAAGCTTCTTCAAGCTGTATGATTCCTACCATTTCTTACCCTCAATTGGTAAGAAATATTTAAAACATAGCAAACAATGTTTAATTTGGGTAGGCACAGTAACCTTCTTTAACCTTTCTTAGGGAACACTGACCCCTAAAGGTTCTAGATTTAAATAAGTTTCACAATATTCTAAATTTAACTGGCATCCAGACCTCATTTTTACCTATATTACTGTAGGTATGTACACTTATGGCAGACATGTTTATTCATAAATAATACTTAAACTATTTCCAATGGACTGTTGTATACTATAAAACAATTAAACCATGTTTCTGTTAATTTAATAAAAATCACCCAAATTTAAGAGCTATCCAGAAGTTTATCATACTATTCCAAATAATTATTCATAAGAGATTTCTGACCCCCGTGAGTTTTTTCTTACATAGTTAAGTAAATAAGTAAATGCTAAAAAAAGCTAAACAATCATATAATAACTGACTCTTTCTGAGGGTTAACTTTGCATATGTCCTTTGTGCCATTTCATTTTTTTTCTTAAAAAGCAGGGGAAAAAAAAGAATGCTGAAAAACAGAAAGCTTTCATGAAAGGACAAAACATCATTTACTTCTTAAGAAGCCAGAAGATGTTACCAATGCTTGCTTGACAACACGTGTTCATTCACTCACCTATTGCTTCCATCAACCTAAAATTTCATTCATTCAGGATTTTTTTTTAACTACCTAAAGAAACCTAGACAGTTTGTAGATGTCTTCACTCATCCTACCTACCAACCTCAGCTTTACATTTTCTAAACTGAGAATGACAAAAACTGAGAAAAATGTAATCGCTTTACCTGTTAACATTATTTACCTCATACTCTTTGACATCAAATATTTCAGCAATGTTTCTAAAATAAAGCTAGGAAAAGAATAACCACTTCAGCACTCCTTGTAATGAAACTTCTAAGATGATGCAAAGTGTAATAAAAGTTTTTAATTAGCTCCATTTCCTTAAAAAAATAAGATAACTTTAAATAAAAATAACTATTTACAAGAACAGTCTATGAATATTTGTAAGATAGAGCTTTGAAGTAATCTGTGCTTTATGAAAAATCCCATATCAAAGAAATAACCATGTGAGATTTTACTGTTTAAACATATCAGTTATCACAAAACTAAAAGATACTACATTTACCTGTTTAACTTTATTCGTTAATAATGTTTCATTAATAGGCCCTTTATATAAAGGAATGTCTTATTCCTATTTCCAATGTTCAGAAAAATGTCTGTAAGAATGCAAATTTTCTTAATGATGTTTCAGTCACGTCTGTACCTCCTGCAAACTATTTATGCATCTGTCTTTAGCCCTAAAACCTTCCTTTCCAAAAGTGTCCTAGAGCTTCAGCAGCTCCGTTCCTTAACATCTTTCCTGGTTATTTTACATTTATGAGAAGTATTTCCTCTATAGCCCCTATTCTTTAGATATATTAAAAATAATTCCTTTGGCTCCTTAAAGATCCTTTTGTCTATAATGTGAACGACATGGCTTTCATAGCAATGTGGCCTCTGAACAGGGAACATAAGCTACAGGGGCATCATTATTTACTTCCTCTTTTCTTATTTTGTACATATATTGAGTAAGAACTGCTCTGAGTTCCTCAAAAGAAGACTGTTTGCTTGCTTATTTGCATAAATGAGTAAAAACAACTACAACAAATCAGTTTTCGGCTTCACACCAATACATCCTTATCACAAACTTGAATATAAAGAGAGTAGGCTAAAATTAAGTGCCACAAAATCCATTCACTAAAGCTATTAACTTTGCATTAAAAACCTTTAACTACGTTACTCAGGTATCACTTGCTATTCCTTTATACACAATGCAATCAGTTACCTGGATTCTAAACTCATAACAAGTAGCCTAGAATCACAAATAAGAGAAGAAATGCTGCTAATGGTAGGCATAAACGACAAGAAAATTTATAACAGCGTAGAAATCAAAAACAAATGCAGAAATCAAAAAAGGTATACTCAGTATAGCATCTTTCTATTCCTCAAAAGAATGTGTAGCTATTAACTAATTTAGTTTAATGATGATACAGCAGTTCCCCAAAATGGCCTTTAATCTTCTGAAAAAGGTAACAGTGTGGTTGATAAATGGTAAAGAAGGAGCCCTGTTGAAGGAGGGGGAATCAAAAGAGAGAGATGTGTGCAATGTTTTGGTAATAATTCTATTTTTTTAAAATTTAGAGGAAATAAAAACGATGAACATAAAGGCCAAAGTCTTCAATTATATGTAATACTATATTCAAAATGATTTGTTTTCCAAGTATTTCAGATTTGCAACTGTATCCAGATTTAGTGTAAAAGACTTCAATTAAAAACCTAACATTTTTTAAACCTCTGTCTTTATGGCCCTCTCTCTACCTTGCTCTATACGTAGATAGATGTGCTCTACTTACCTACCTACCTACCCATATATCCATCCATCCCTCCTTCCACCCAACCACCATTTCTCCCTTTTTCAGGCCATCTCTCAGTCTGCCTGTCTTTCAAACTGTATTTCTGTCTGACTGTTCTCTCCCTCTGCCTGTGCATATCTGTGTGCATCCTTTTCTCTGTTTCTCTCCTTGTCTCTGACTCTGTTTTCATGTCTCTGTCTCTGTTTCGAAGTACCTTTTTCTGCCTCCCTCTGCACATCTCTGCAAGTCTCTGTGGCCCTGACTCTCCAGGGAGAGTCCCCCTCTGACTCCGTTTCTTTGTGGGTGTCTCCGGGTGTGTCTTTTGGTGTGCATGTGTCTCTACATGTGTCTCTGTGCCTGTATGTGTCTTGGTCTGTTTCTCTGTGTATGTGTCTCCCTCTCCATATATGTTTGTCTCTCTCTGTATATGTGTGTATCTTCCATGTCTCTTTAACTTTGTGTCTCTTGTCTCTGTGTGTCTCTTTCTGAGTGTGTCTGCATGTACACCTGTGCCCCTCTCTCTCAGTGTGTCTCTTCCCCCTCCCCCTCTCCCTCTCCCTCTCCCTCTCCCTCCCTCTCTCTCTCTCTCTCTCTCTCTCACTCACTGTATGTCTCTGTCTCCTTCTCACCATGTTTCTCTCACTCTGGTATCTCTCCTTCTCTGTGAGTCTCAATATGTGTGTCTCTTTCTGTGTGTATCTATGCATGTGTGTCTTTCTCTGTGTGTGTGCCTCTGTATATGTGTCTGTGTCTTTCTCATTGAGTTTAATATCTCCCTCCTATGTCTGTGTCTCCTTTCTGTTTGTGTTTCTTTCTCTGAGTATACCTCTCTGTATTCATTTCTCTACCATTCATTCTCTCAATCTCCTCTATCACTTTGGGTGTGTTTCTCTCTCCCTGTGTGTCAGCTTTCCTTTTTTCTCTCAATATCTCTTGCTCTGTGCGTGTCCCTTTCTCTGTGTGTGCATGTCTCTTTCTCCATGTGTCTTTGTGTCCCTTTTGCAGAATGTGGGTCTCTTTGTGTGTGCCTCCTTCCTTGCATGTGTGCAGGCGTGTGCACTTGTGCTTGTCTGCCTCTAATATATTGGTTAGAACAAACACACTTCATTCAGTGCCTTAAACAAGCACAACACCTGGGGTTTGGTAATAATACCTTAAAAGTCCTTACCTTTTGACCAGTCGTCCATTTGTACTCCCGTTCCTGTTTGCTCTGGCAACGTCTCTGGTTTCTGCGCCAAGATTTGAAGCTAAAATAAAGCCAACTCTAGATAAATAAACTTAAAACAATATATCAGAACACACCTAAACCTTACCTTTGTTTAACAGAGAATTTACAGGATAAATGGTTTTCTAAAACATTTATAATAGGACAATTAACTGTGTATTTCAACACGTGAAATTAAATCTTTTTTCTCAGAAAAAAGTTCTTTCATTCACACCTATATTTTAGTAAATACAGTTCAGGTTAAGCTTCTAGACATTCTTGCTGCTTTGGTGAGGGAACCATTTAATTTATTTAACTTAAGTCTTTCCAACTACAATTTCAACAATTAAAAAAAATTAAAAATTTACTCTATTTGTCAAATTTCAGATTTATTGATTTGAATGCATATTTTCATATAAAACATTTCATACTTGTAAAAGTAATTTTAAATGCTATTCTAATTTTTTAAAAGATTATCATTAACTTGTGGAGTTACTGATTTTTCTCTCTTGCATTTGTTTTCATAATAAATATCATAAAAACTATGCAAGTTTTTTTTTTTGCATGCTTTTAAGGAGAATAAAATTAGATTTACCTCACAGCTAGAACTCTGTGTTCTTTAAAAAGTCCTCAAATAAAGCTGTAGTAAGCTTCTCCTTTCCAATTTTCTCTAAATATGTTGATCTGGAGTTGGCAATCTTTTTCTAAGTTCCTCATTTACTTTTGGATTAGCTGAAAATATAGGAAGTTATTAATATCAAAGAAATATGTTCCAGTCAATGAAGCCACTTCCCTCCATATTGCCCAAAAAGGTTAATAATAATTGCGGTCTTTTAATAAGAGATTCATATAGCAAGACATGTAGAAAATACAGCCTTTAATAACCTCTGGAGTATTTTAAAACATGTCTTACAGGTCTTAATGTGCTTAGTAATATACTATTTAAAACCATAATTTTATCCATCTTCAATATACAGTCACTCTTCCTCATCATTTACCCAGCTAATGAATGCCAGCAATTAGTAAAATGTAATCCCATTGCACAATCATTTTAATGCTTTTAGCACTCAGAAAAGTAAACACCAAATTAATACTGCTCAAGCCATATCAGATCCTAGTTGGAAGCAAGCAATTATAGTTCATCTCCTCAGGTGTAATTAAATGATTGGAATGATTTAGTTCCATAAATGCAAGTTAATTCATAAGCAAGCAACAAATATACTGGGAGTAATTACAAGAAACATTGACAGTCTAAGCAGGGCTAATTCTTTTATGAGACTGATATAGTAAAATGCTGCCCTCTCCTGGGCATATAAGTGAATATTTCAGAGCCAAAAACAAAACATGTCCCCCTAACCCAAAACCTAACTTTTAAAAAGACACTAAAAAGCAAACAAAAAAACCAATAAATCAATTTATCAATTTGATTTCATTCCTTATACAAAAAATTTTAATTTATGGCTTACTATGATAATTTCTACACACCCTAGTAATTAATGCTTTTTCCATTCAAGTTCTGAATATGAGTCCCAAAACATACCTGGCAATTATTATAAATCTAATGAAACTAAATCATTCATATATAGCACTGACTGCAAGTGAAACTTCTAGTACCCTCTTATACTGCAAGACCAATACCTATATTCTTTCACTGGTAAACCCTAACTGGCATGTTAGAGATAACAACTAAGCTATGCTTTTTGTAAGTACTAAAATTTGTAAGAAAAATAATCTCTGACGAATGTAAAACAAAATACTCGGTATTACTGTAATTATACAAAATGGTCTAAAACTAATTGTTTTTAAGGAACTCCAATAACAAAAATAAAAACTAGAGCACAGGTATAATATCATTACAAGCACGTTTTAAAACATAAAGGGGAGCAGGTAGTACACAAAATAAAACACACCCCAGTTTTACTTAAGCCATTCCCCACTTTTTACTTTCTTAGGCTAACATACAAAACAAATTTACTTGAACACTACTCGATGCTTATTAACTAAACTTATACAAACTTTCAGAAACGTATTTATTATACATTTGAGTTATGCTATAATCAGTAAGTCTGTATTAACACATATGTATTTGTAGCACTAAACCTATTTAGAATCATCCCTTTAACTTTCTGCAAAATTGAACATATTCTCAAATATTACCAATAGCACAACAAATGTTTAATTCTCCAATAAATACAAAAGAGACTTGCAGAGGATAATGTTTAACATACCAGTATTTTTTGGTGGGGGAGGGAACATTATTCTAAGTCATGGCCTATGCAAGCTATAAAAATAAAATAAAACAAAATATTAAACAGTCTTGCCACTAAGTTTAAAATGTACAGCACATTTGCTTTGCCCTTGATGTCACAGTCATATATTTCAATTCGTATCTTGTACACTGTAAGTTAATTGCTTTTGGAAAGTACTTATTATTCATGTAAAAATTAATGTGCCAATGTGTTTAAATCCTCTTAAATGACCATTCATGCATCTTTCTTCTTTAAGTACCAATGAAATCTGTCAAAAGACATCAATGCCATTTCTTAAAGAAAGTTCTAATAGAGATTTTTTTCTGCTAACACAAGATTTTCATATTCACCAACTTTACTTAAATTCCATTAATTTTTTAAGCTACTTTTAATAAATTCACCAAGTAAAATTTTTAGGCCCCAAAGTCTGTCATTTGTGTTCCAGCTGACGTTATGAATATTAATAACAGTGTTATCCTGATTAAATAGGCTTCATATGAAATCCCTGTGAATCCTATAGCTCAGACATCTCATTTTTCCAACTCTTTATGAATTTGGATTCAGACATTAAACTGGAAAAATCTTTAAAAACAGATTTAATGGCACATTTGCATACTGTCAAGCAAAAATTAGATGTTCTAATGATTCAATTAATTACAACTTACATATCTATATATTGTAATAGGACTAGAAGATTTTTGTAAACATCAACATATTTTACACATCTACACATTATAGGACAAAGGATTAAGACTATTAAAATACTGATTCCTTTCTTTACACTCACCTTAAATATTTGATATCAAGAACTTTTCAATCAAAAATTATATATTCACATTAAAACCAGTGGGATGATTTTTATAGTAGACATCAGATAAACTAGGCTTCTTAAAGTGCTAAATCATTGTATCACAGACAAAATATGTTAATTGCTTTATCATTATTAATGTCACCAGGTTCAAGCAGCAAAATAAAATCTAACTAAACTTCGTTTTTGTGTTAGAAAAAATAACCCATGTTAAAAAAGAAAAATAAAATCTTTACTATAACAGACAGAATATACCATATCACCATCTGTTAAACTAAAATCTTCTCCATCACAGATTCCTGACCTCATTCCTCCAAGTTGTTTTTAGTTCTCAGAAGAAGTGAAAAAAGGAGAAATTAATAGCCAGGGAAACCACATACTCCCTTCTCTCTGTAAATATACTGGAATCTGAATATATCTACCTAAATTTCCTACTTTCACCCTATCGAAAAACAGAGATTGAAAAAAATTAAACAAACATCTCTATGCTCTCAAACGGGACTTGACTCTCCTTGTTTACTCAGCAGTAAAATACTTGATGAAACAAAATTTGTTCTTTGACTAGTCTACAATTTCTAATCTGCCTAAAAAGTTATAAGTAATTCTGACATTTATCCTTCAAAATTAAACAATCCTTCTTTGACAGAAAGGCACTTAAAGAAGGAATTTCATTCCCCAAAGTAACAACACCCAGGATTTTTTAAAACTTATTTTAAATAGGAGATACCCTTCTACCTTACTCCACAAAAGCCACACATGGGCAAGGTGATCGGCTGACTTTGTTTAATGGTGTTTTTTTCATAATGCCTCCTTAGTTAATCTCAAATTTGTGTGATGTGAATCCAAAGCGTCAAACTAGGAATCATTTATAATACTGCCTCATATCCAACTATATGTAACTCCAATTATATCTAACTATAACCATGCCAAATTTTGGATTTTCTAGATTGAGAAATGTTGATAATTTCTGCAATGGAATGGTTTCATTAAATGGCCAAAGGAGAGCACTGTATTTCTGAGAGCCAGATATTTTAACATATAACTCAACATATACATATTTTCTACTGCTGGATTTTCATCTTATGAGACAAAAGTCTTTCAAATAGCCACAGTTCTTGGCACATTCTCTCACAAAAAGAATTCCTTTCACATCACAGCCCACTCCCTACCAAGCTCCAGACAACCCAAGTTCCCCACAGCCTAGAAAAGCAAGAAAAGGTTTAGGGAGAAAGGATAAAAGTTGCCCCATGCAATAGCTATCAAAATTTTAAATACATATACTATTTGACCCCTCCACTACTAAAAGTCTTTTTAAAATATGTAGAACATAGTTGTATGTACAAAGATACACACTGAAGCAGTATTTATTTGTATGAGAAAATACTCATGCTTTAGTCATACTGAACTTCTTTCTGTTCTTGAACTCACCAAGCTTATTCTTGCCTCAGAACCTTTATACTTACTATTCCCTCTGCTTAGAATTCTTTTCTCTAGATCTCTAAACCATTTTTTCTTATCATTTAGGCCTTGCTCAAATTCACCTCTTCAAAAAGGTATTGCCTGGCCATCCTATCTAAAGTAGAAACTCCTCTCTCACTCTCATTACATTACCTGTGCTACTACCTTCATGAAACCCATTCGTTTAGGTTTTATTTCATTGTTTTTGGTATGTATCAGCCAACTATGCATAAGGAAATTACATTCAGACACAGCCCTTGCTTTTCTCTTTCATCTGTGTCCTTAGAAGGGTGTTTGGCATACAGTAAGTACTCAGTATGTATTTGATGGGCATACAGGTGGATAGACAGATGTGGAAGATTCTCTCAACAAGTATTTGTTAAGCACCTATATATTATGTGTCAGTCAACTGTTCTAGGAGTTAAATATAAAATAAATAGGTAAGACAAATAAATTTCCTACCCAAAATAAATCTTTAGCTAAAACAATACACATACAGAACATGGATAAATTAAAGACAGAAAAAAATGTAAAATTACACTTACATATGTAAATATACATGCTTGAATAGGATATACATAGGAAACTATTACCAGTGGTTACTCTGAATAAAGGGCCTAAAAGAGTTGAGGCAGGGAAACTGAGAGACTGAGGGAAAGAAATATTTCTGTTTCATTTTGTATCTATCTATCTGTATAATTTTATTTTTTTACGAAGTACATGTATTATTTTTAACTTAATGATCAAACATTTATTAATAACCTTGGAATTTAACAAGAAACTTTGAAGGAAGCCACATTACATCTAAGAGATTCAAAATGAATAGAAAGAAAGTAATCTTTATGACTCCCTTGAAACTTTGAAAAAATAATTATTGCCTAATTAACTTTTATAATTATACTTTGTTATGGCTGTTTGCTTGCTTGCTTGGTTTCTGAAGAGTGAAAAGTTCTAATTTAACTAATATATGGCAGAAATTTTTTAGAACAGAAAAGTTTAAAATGAATGAGTTTCCTGAGAATTAAGCATACATTTCTTAAAACAATCACACTGCTTTGTTCAATTAGGGACTATTATAATAGTCTTAGTGTTCGGGATTCTGACGTTTAAAAGTTTATAATAGAAATTACTATCAAAAAAGACGAACTACTTCCCATCATTTAAAATTATGGAAGGGCATCAGATTAAGAGGAAATAAATATTTAGTGTTTAAGATA